TATGTGACCCAGGAGGCAAGTTCTCCTTGGCTGCTTTTCCCTCTCTCTTAGGATTTTTTTCACCAATGTTTAAGAAAGTTTTGCCTGGACCACCCCATGCCCAAGGTAAAAAGTGCAAGCCATCCAAAAAAGGTAAAACTTCAGAGGCTAGACAGAAATCTACATCCTTCACCAAATCTCCAGGGGGTTCTTGTGTTTACTAAAATCTGAGCCCTGCAGCAGGAGGGAAGTCAAGGGCCTTAGAGATGCTGAGAGAGAAAACCAAAGAAAAAGGTGAATTCTGAAAAGGAGGAGAATCCAGACCTTTTCTTTCTTCCTGCTCAGATAAGAGGGTTACAAGAGCATATTTCCTGGAGCCTGAAGCCATCGCTGGTGAAAGGAAGTGGTCCGTGAGGAGGAGATGGAGGAAGTGGAGCCAGGCATTACTAATACCCCCTGCCGCCCCCTCACCCCCTTTTCGCTTCCCCCCCAGGCTGGCACTGGGACCAAGAAAACTCACAGAGGTGGCAGGCTGAGCAGGCAGACACTTCCCTTTTGGCCCTGGGGGTGTGTTAGTGAGGAGGAGACCTGACAGAAAAGGAATTTGCTAGGGCAGCTCAAAAAGGAGGGGAGATTCCCAGGGGCTCTGGGAAGCAGGTCAGTGCCGGGAAGGCGGGAGACTCCCGCAGAAAGGATTCAGGGCCATACTTGGCTGCAATCCTGCAAACACATTCTTCTCTAAGATCAGATACGTGGGTTTAGGAGACGGGCCGTTAAAATAAAATAAACAGCATTAATAATGTTAGTAATCATGAGTGTCACTAGTGTTGAAAATTTTCTGGAACCCTTTCATGAGTTGCCTAATGCCCAGAGAAGGATAATAACAGTGTTTAGTAGCCATAAATTATAGGATCAGTGCGCAGAGCTAGTAAGATGATGAGCCAGGGCTTGTGAATTGGCTTTGTTTTTGTGCTAATTAGATGTTTGGGGGGGGGGGGGTGTGTGTGTAAAATTTCTTGACCTTTTTTTGTCATCTCTGGCTCTTTCTGATTTAAAAAAAAAAACAAAAACAAAGAAAACTTTAAAGAGGTAGGAATTGACTACACTCTTGATGGATCTGTGTTTATGTTTTAAAAATTGACCTAGTAAATTTAACTGAGGCAAGGAAACTGTTAAGCACAATGTTTTTGCCTTTACTTTTCATTTTTCAACTGATTTTTGTGATTCTTACTTGATCCAAGCCACATGCTAGGATACAAAGGTGAACAAACACATTCTTTCCCATCTAGGAAGTCGTGGTCTCATGGAAGTAGAAAAGTAAACGAGAAGCAGAAAAGTAAGCGAATAAAAAGCACTGTGGAAAGACTGTGAGCTATAGGCCTACAGAGACCCTCTAGTATTTATACAAGCATATGTAAGAGGGAGTTTTAAATTATAAAAGGTAGTGTCAATGTAAGAATGTCCAAACATGTAAGAATTTTTGTCATTTTATTTGAGCCAAACTGATGGCAATTGCTGGGAAGCAAAACCTCAATGGATTGAGGAAATGCTCCAGAAAATGGCAGTTTTGCACCTTATTTTATACATTACAGGCAAAAGAGGAGACAGAAGGGGGTTACAGGAAATCCATTGGTGACAGATTAGGGAGGTGGGAGAAAGCAAGGGAAGGGGGACTTTGGGATTGGATAAAAAGGTAAAAACGATAGACACATACTTCTTATATATAAATGGGTCCAGGGTAGTTAACAGTCAACAATTAACATGATAACAACAACAGTGGAGGAATTTGTAATCTCTGCCCCAGTGGTTTGGAAAAAAGGGAACTACCTGACATTCCAAAGGTATGTTATCATGGATACAAAAAGACAATAGACAGGCTCAATTAAGCTAAAGATTTTTTGTCAGGAAGATCCTAGCCAAGGACAATGACTGCCCACCATTATCTGCTTTTAGTTAGTAAGTTTTAATTTCAGACCATCCTTTGTGGTTACTTTAGGTTTCTGAGTTTGTAAACCAGTCACACAGGCCTCCCCGAGCTTGTCAGTTTTCACACATGTTCCCGTTTCATCCACGGTAGTACAGTGCATAAACTGTTCTGTATCTTGGGTTTGTTTTTTGTTTGATTGTTTGTTTTCTGTACAGTGTGCCCTGGAGATTCTGCCTAGTAGCTGTGCACTTTAAATAGATCCTTGGGTCCAAAGCAAGTGGTGGGTAGAAGGAACAGGAACAGTAGGGAGTGAACCAGGTGTGGAGAACAGGACCAATATTGGTCCAGTCAAAATAACATAAAGTATATAAAACAAAATGGAGTCACTCATGTCAACCAAGATGGCTGCCAGTCGGCCATGACACTTTCATTCAAGAGGAAAAGCTACTTAAGTCATACCAGACACATCTGGCAAGGAGACACACCTAACATATCTGTACACGTGAGCAGAACAGCCACGTCTGCAGGGCGGGACCACCCATAGATAGGCTTCTGTGGAAATTCCCCACTTGCCATCAGGGTGCCGAAACACTTATCAAGAGACCCAGAAGGGTGGAGTACATCACTCTCAAGGGTATAACTGAGGTAGGTTTCAAACAGCTGCTGAGACAGCTGAGCCCCACGCACCAAGGTGCTGCACAATGCAATGCTAGTCTCCCTTCGCATTGGTCACAGGAGGCTCTGCCCTGCTGGACTTGAGACTTCGTCTGCCCTGCTGCCCACCTGGCTCCAGAGATCCTTCTTACAAAATGCTGACGGCTCCCTTGCCCACCGTGCTGTCTCCTGGACCCACAGACTAAGACTCTGGGACTCAGGTTTGTCATCCCCCAATTCTCTCATGTAATATTATTGCTGATTATTTCTAAACAATTAATATTGTTATTAGTTTAGTATAAATGTGGATTGAATCTGCATTAGTAAAAACTGAATAAACATGTTAATAAAGTCTGAGTGAATAGCACAGTCACCTGTGTGGGCTCCCTGTTATTCCTCAGTGCCGGTGGCACATGCAGGACTGGCGGTGATACAAGCAGCTCAGCACTTTTGGCTCTGAAGGCCGGGGTCAGACTGGGTCAACGGTGACTGAAGCCTGGTTTATAGGGAAGACTGTACTGTGAACGTGCGTTTACCACACTAGGTAGCGGTTTTCATGGCTTGACACCTTGTTAGGAGTGGAGGGTACCCAGGCTGGTGCTCCATCGATCCAGGGAAGATTTAGCGCACCCTCTTGTTACTAGCATTGGGATTCCTGGGTTCCCCGAGATAGATATTAAGAGTAAACCCCAGAGAGATTTCCAGACATGTTTTATTAATCTAACGCTTGAGTACCAGGGCGCCAATGCAGAGGAAAGAAAGGTCCCCTGAACTGGCTGGAGGCTGGCTCTGCTTGGCTGCTTCTATAGGCTGGGGACCAAGCGGGATTGCTTGAAAAAGCAGGCTTTTTGAAAAAAGCAGGCTTGTGGAATTTTCCATGTTGGGAAAGCAAGTTGTTCGTAGGGAGATAAAAGTCTGCATTTTTTTAAACATGGAGTGGAGGGCTAGTGACATTTTCTCATTCGGCCTGTCCCATGTTCCTTCTGGCCGCCTGGTCTTAACTTGGCTTCCTGGCTACCAGCTGTTTTTCCATTTCCAGGCCCAAGTGCCCGGGGCCTTCTGAGTCAAGGTGCTCTTTAGGTGATTCTAGGGGAGAATCTGCTCATGCCTCTCTCTTCGCGTTGGTGTCCTTCCTTGCCTTGCAGCTGGACAACTGCAATCTCTACCTCTTGTCACATGGCTTTCTTCCCTCTGTCTTTGTCTTCACGTGGCCCTCTTCTTATAAGGGCACCACTCATATTGAACGAGGTGCCCGCCCTCCTACTCCAGGAGGACCTCATCTGAATTTGAGTGATTACCTCTGCAATGACGGCGTTTCCACGTAAGTTCATATTCTGAGGTGCCTGGGGGTCAGGACTTCAACACATTGTGGCCCTACTCAACCTATAATGACTCCCTCCACCTGAATATCACAATAACCCTAACCAGTAGGTGCTTTACTCAAAGTTTTAGAAATAGAGGAGTTCTAAATTTTAAACTGTTATAAAATTTTGGCCATATATATTTGTAGTTGAAGTAATACATAAATAAACAAAATATTGCCAATTGTAGAGCCCTCTGATAATTAAGGCTGTCTTAGAGTTATTTCTGAGCAGTAAGAATGGGGGTAAACTTTTATTTTCTTTACTTGTACTTTCCCATATTACTTGTTTTTTCAAGTAGTCATATAATTTTTACTTTTTGACAGTTAATGATGGATCTAGATTTTCAGGGAAATGAAGAGAGCCAGTTTATTCTATCTGTGCTGAGCAGGTGATCACTAGGAGCTAAGCCAACGGGACATGTGTGGGACAGTGCAAAACAGCCAGAGGAGTCACAGTGAGGCCGGGCTCGGAAGGGGGAAAGGAGCTCTGAAATCGAACCTGGACATTCTCCACTCCAGCATCTTCCCAAGTGAGTCCCATGGGTTCTATGGGAATAAAATTGCGGCCAAGGAAATCTGGAACACAGCACTCCCTCTCTCCCTCTCAAGAAGTTACAGTGCACACATCTGAGAAGCCCTCCGTGGAGAAGCCCATCTGGCTCAGAATTTCCCAGACATCTGGATTCAGAACCTTTCTGAAAGTTGGCTTTTTTAGAACTAGTGTTTTACTCTGCTCTAGTCCAACTCTCATCTTCTAGGTAAGAAAACTGAGGCCCAGAGAGGTGAACCGAGGCCACACAACCAGTCCTGGGCGAAGCAGGACAGAAACCCAGTTCTCATGGTCATTGATTTGTCGCCATACCTGCTATTTCCTACATTTCTTCCTGCTCAGGGTTGGTGAGGCTCTGTCGGGAGTATTGGGAAGAGAAAGAAGATTTAGGAAAGCTATACTTACGGCAATAGAAGTGTATTTGTTTTGGACAGTTCTTGGTTGTTTTTAATTTTGCTATCTGTGATAATTTTCAAGTAACTTAAACAAATTTTAAAATATGCTTCTTTCAGAGACTACTATGTTTTATACTTACCTAGGAGGGGACTTACCATGATCACGAAGGCGGTTTTCCCAGGGTGAGGCTTATGCATTGCGCTCCAGATGTGCTGACCCTGCTATTTCCCCAAATGTGGGAAACTCAACTGCATCATTTGTGGTAGTGGGGGACGGCATTTGCGCTCTCCCCTGGAAGAAAAAATAAAAAGAGGCTACTATGTTAGAGGAGCCTTTTACTACTCTATCAAAAAGAGCTCCCCCAGAGCTCTGGACTGCTCCTTCCTAATCTAGAATTCAGCCAAGTTCTGTGCATGAGAAACTGCAGCTTTCACATTGAATCTCTACTTCATCTACATCAAATCTTCCACCGGCCACTGGCGGGACCCTCTCACGAGAGAGAAAGATAGACATCTGTGGTGACGTGGACCAGACAATAGGGTTCCCTGTGGGCCGGAGCTGACTTCTCTCTCCACACTGACTCAAAGCCAAACGCCAACAAAGCTGTGCCTCTCCCTGTTTCAGGATCCGCTTCTCAGGAGCCCTTTGTCCCTATGATGACACACAGTAAACAGCAGCCTGCTCCACTCTCTCGGAAATTCCACCAGGCTGAAAGGCTCAATCAGATGAACACACACAGGCCCTTCTTTTCTCTCTACTGATGGGCACCTACCATGAAGTCACAGTTGGCTCTATTGGGTTCTGGCATGACAGCCCCCAGCCTCCCCACCTAGAGCTGAGAAATAGCCTCAAGAAAGTGCCTAACTGTGTCGAGTGTAATGTCCTGGAGGCACACGTAACAAGAAATCAATTCTGACAAACACGTTGGGCACCTATTGTGTACACTGTCACATTCCTCTCAAAGTTGACAGTTGGAAAAAGAGACAGAGGCGTACGTGACTTTGATCCAAAACCCAAAATAGTGCTCAAAGACGGGCTTAAAATAAAATACATTGAAGCTCAAGGAAGTTAGCAATTGCTTTTGATTTAGGGGAGGTTTGGAGGAAAAGGCCTTGAGCGATGGGTGCATCCGTTTGCTGGTGGAGAGGGGTGGGAGATAAAGGCACTCCGCCAAAGGGGTCCGCTGAGGGGAGAGTGCGGACTTCTGGATGAGGGAAATATTTGAGCAGAGGTGAGTGGGGAAGGGTATGGATCTCCCAGAGTATTAGAGAAGTCTGCTGCTGCCGGGAGCGGGGAGCATCGGTGGAGAGGGGATGGAAAAGATAGATAGGGGCAAGACGTAGAGACCATGGACCTGTAGACAAGCAGCTGGATTGCGCTCCTGCACCTCTGCTCCATGCACTGACTTTGGGGAGGGAGAAGACATGCTTATAAATTGCATGGCTTTATTCATTATTATATTGAAACTGCTGCAGCCAAAGAAATTAAGATGTCATGCCATCTCTTATTTTGGACTGCCCTGGCTGGGTGGCTCAGTTGGTTGGAGTATCACCCATGCACCAAAATGGTGCAGGTCCCTTTCAGGGCACATACCTAGGTCGTGGGCTTGATCGCTGGTTGGGGCATGTATGGGAGACAACGGATCGATGTTTCCCTCTCACATCAATGTTTCTCTCTCACCCTCTGTCAGATTGATCTAAGATCAATAAACATATCCCTGGGTGAGGATTAAACTAAAAAAATGGACCTTCTGCCACAGTTAGTATAAAGCCACAACTAGTTTGAGAATATTTGTTGTTGTTATTATTTAGGGTGTTGTTGGTTTGCTTATGACCTAATATTTTTATTAAGTCTTATATGGAACTTTGGCATCCAGAGAAATTAGGAAGTTATTTCTGAGTTAACTTGTGTATGTAACATTCTGTGGTTAGGACTTATTATTTCTTCTCTTTTTAAAAGTACTGTTTGGCCCTGGATGGTGTGGCTCAGTGGATTGAGGACTGGCCTGTGAACCAAAGGGTCTCCAGTTTGATTCTCAGTCAGGGCACACACCTGGGTTGTGGGCCATGTCCCCAGTAGGGGGTGCGTGAGAGGTAACTACACATTGATGTTTCTCTTCCTCTTTCCCCCCTCCTCTCTAAAAATAAAAAAATAAAAAAATAAAAGTACTGTCTGTTTTTCTTCTAAACATGGAGAGCTTTGAGGTATGGGAATAATACCAGATCTATGCTTTAAAAAGATAACCCAGATTACTCTAGGGTCAATGTTTAGGATGAATTGGGTTAGATGGAGAGAAGTTACAGATGGGAATACTGGCTCAAGACCTAGCTTAGTGGCTTGCTTTCATTCATTTCTTCAGAAAATTGTTAGGAGTATTTACAATGCACCAGGTACTATTCTGGGCATCACAAATGTGAGAGTGAAGAAAGCAAGTGAAACACCTGGTCTGAGGCGCCCTTCCTTCTGGGGGAACATAGACAATAGACATATGAATCTTCAGTGTCGGGTATTGATAAGTGCTAAAAAGGAAAAGGCAGCAAGTGAGAAGAATAGAGGATGCTGGGTGGATCTCTTCCTCTTTTTAAAAATTATTATTGTGGTGAAATTGACACAACACAAAATTTACCACATTAACCATTTTTAGGTGTACAATTCAGTGGCATTACATACATTCACATTGTATGACCATAACCATCATCCATTTCCAGGACTTGTTAGGGGGGAGTTTGTTTGTAAAAAAAAAAAATTATTTATTTTTAGAGAGGGGAATGGAGGGAGAAAGAGAGGGAAAGAAACATCAATGTGTGGTTGCCTCACACATGGTCCCTACTGAGGACCTGGCCTGCAACCCAGGTATGTGCCCTAAACTGGGAATCAAACCAGTGACCCTTTGGTTTGCAGGTCAGCACCCAATCTACTGAGCTACATCAGCCAGGATGGGTGAAGCTCTTTCTGATAGAATAGTTGAAGTCTTCTCTAACACAATAGCCTCTGAACAGAACTCTGAATAAAGGGTGAGAATAGCCCTGACTGGTGTGGCTCAGTGGGTTGGATTTTGTCATCCAAACCAGAAGGTCCCTGGTTCAATTGCTGGTCAGGGCACCTGCCTAGGTTGCAGGCCAGGCCCCTGGTTGGGGGTTGTTTGAGAGGAAACCGATCAATGTTTTTCTCGCACGTTGAGGTTTCTTTCGCACACTGATGTTTCTCTTCCTCTCTTTCTCTCTCCCTTACCCTCTCTCTAAAAATAAATAAAATCTTAAAAAAAAAAAAAAAAGAGTGAGAACAGACTCTGAGCTCAGGTAAGCATGCTCCAGATCCTGGAAATAGTAAACTATCCCAATAGCCCTGGTGAGCATTGCTACAAAAAGGTTTACGGTACTGAAACCCCACCCCCAGAGGACAAAGGAGAAATACTTCCTCCCAGAAGTAATTCATTTAGTAGAGACGCCAACCCAGATCCATGAAAAGACAGACAATTTAGTGCAAACCACAAGATCTGAATCCTGGTAAGGATTTCGTATCTGTCCTGGGATCCCATACCAAAGAGTGTGTGGTGGTTGTGAACGCAAATTTATGAGTCTGTGAAGTCTGAATTTCCTTTTTGAGTTACAGGGCTGTCTTTCACCAGATGTATGAGTAAGAAGTCATGAGCTTTCTTTGAAACTGCCCTTTGGCCTATTGGTATGTGTTTTGCCTGTGATAGGATCAATTAGTCATACATTATGGAGTACATTCCATTTTTCTGGGTACAGAGAACAACAGGGAAATGTCTATTCTATCTCCTGTATGTAGTCAACAGAAATACTTTTAGACCTTAATCCATTCATCCTATCTAATAATTTTGTCATCCATGAAACCTTCATGTGTTCTGCAGTCTGCCCCTGACAGTTCCTGTTCAATGAAAGATCCAATCATGACTTCTGACTTATTTTGGATATTTGAAAAATGAACTTGCCTGTGGCCATACGTACAATAGTCACAAAACCAAGTCCTATGCCACAGCCCTGTAAGGGAAATTAGGCAATGCACAAAAGGAAAGAAAAGTGTTCTCCTTTTAGTTGCTCTTCTAATTTGCTTTCCCTGGAAATCTTCAGAGAAACTTGAGTATGTTTGCCTTAGGTGGATGCCTGTTTTCTCATGACAGGAAAAGCAGCAAGAGGGAGTGGAGCTGCTCTGCCTGTAAGGAGGGACAGCCCTGTCCATATAGACAGAGCCGGGGCAAATCCGTAGGGTAAGAACTTGAGAATATGTATAATGAATCGGCAGAAATTTCTACAAGGCTGATACAGCATGCAGTAGTTGGGATTAGATATATTGTATGTTTGGGCAGAGAAAGCAGAGATTCTACAGTTTATCACGGAGCTACAAGTACAATGTGACATGCTGAATAACCAACCCATCAAAAACTGCCCATCTCCCTGAGGTTTAATTTTACAGCTCCACAGTCCTTTATGAGAAGCCCTTGGGCCATATGTTTTGGAATCCCGAGTCTTTCAGAAATATGGTGTACACACTGAATGGCATGACTTAATACTTTTAGCAGAATCTAGGGTGGTAAACCATAATTAAACCCATGCATATATCCCCAGGGAAATGTATGATTATTTGTACCAAGTGGAATAAGGCAGGCTCATAAATAGACTGACATCATCAATTCAGGTCAGATTACTGCCAAAGTAGTTTAAGCACCAAATGTTTGGTTTCAGAGGTAAAACTCTGAAATTTCAGAAATGTGGCTAAGGAATTGTGGACCTATATAAACTTCCTCTGCATAATTCCAAAAAGCAAGCAATTGCTTGAACCAGTCTCATGATGGCTACGATGCTATGAATCAAGAATCTGGATCCGAGCTGGAATGAATTGCTCAACATCACATCCTTCTACACACAGTGGGTGTGCCTGGAGTAGGAGGTACTTTGTTGGGGGATATTTAGTGTATATTAGTGGGACCTGAAAACACACAAAAAAGAACTATTATGCACCTGCTGGATGTTTTTACCTGGCTTACCAGAAGGCAAAAACCCTATGAATCATACCCAGTAAGGCAGGTGCAGGTGCAGGCCGCAGGCAACCGATATCTCCCAAGTGAGTTTAAAGGATCCTATTACGCAGGATCCTAAGAGGTTGTTGCCTTGTTGCCTTGGGAAACGTGGGTACGGCTAATTAACTCAGCACTTCATTTTAGTGACTCTTCAGTTCTTGATACAATTTCTCACACTCATGGCTGCCTAAGAGTGGTCGGACCCACACTCGAGACATAGTTCTTCCGGAAGTTTTAATGTGGCACCTGTGGC